CCTGTGTGATCTCATTTAGGTTCCTACTCCGAATATATCCTTCATGGTATATATTCTTATCTCGTCTTTATTCATTTCCATGAATACTTTCGTGAGTATGTCCTTAGCTTGTTCATTAATACCTTGGTGTAGGCATCACTGTTTCCTTATATCTTTGTTTTGATTTATAAGCTGCATGTTATATATGGGATTCTGTAAGGGCAGAAGTCTACAGGTGGCCTTCTACAGAGGCAAGAGCTTCTGCCTGTGTGATATAGGAAAAGGATCAGATCATGGTTCCTACATTTCTATCACCTGCTTATTTTAATCAGACAAAAAATATTTTTTTACTTCTTAGTATGTTATCTGTGGCCATAAGTTGTAACTCTTCTTTTAATTTTAATGACAGAGTTACAAAGACTTTTTTCTTTTTTTTCCCTTTTTTTTTTTTTAATAATATGACTTTAAAAGCTTTTTTATATTAGAAGAGCTTAAAGTCCATGATTTTATGTATACATATTCCTGGCATTGTGTAAATATTTTCTAGCAGCAGAAAATTTCTTTTAAACTAGATTTTTGTTTGAAGAACCTGCAGCTAATCCTCTGGCTACAAAATTACTCATGTTAAACTACTAAAACAGAACTTAAATACTGATACTCCTTTTTTGTTAAGTGAAAATAGTGACCCTTCTCAGCAGGTATCTCTAGTGAGATTGCACATATAGGAAACTGCTCCCCGCTACAGTGGAATTCACAACAATAATGTGTGCGTTGATTAAAGTGTTACCTACTTCCAGTGAAAGAACAGCCAGATGAAGGGAAGTAGTCTTCAGTGTACTTTTTCTTGAGAGCTTTTGAAATTATTAGAGTTAATGGCTTGAGTTCTTACTGCTTTGGCTATCAGACAGTCAATTTGTTTTGTTTGCTTTATTTTGTGAGTATTTGTTATAATAGAGAGTAAATGTTTTGAATGGTTGTGTGTGAATCTCCTATGAATAATAACTGAATAATAACTGCTTATATCTTAAGATTGCAAATTGTCACTTGTATAAGTTTTTGTTTTCTGTTACAGGGTGGGAACACTGCAGTTACCTGTTGTATTAGAAGCAGTTGTGTACACTTCTTATAAAACCTCTTGTGTTTTGCTCTAAATTCACATGAGATGGGTGTGTGTGGATTTCCCTTTAGTGATATCTGTTTTCTTCAGATTTTACTCACAGAAGTTGAGTTAATAACTGACCACCTTTACTTTTCAAAGGTACTGCAACAGCCACCTGCAGGTACTTGGCTTTATACCGAAAAAGGAGAGGAAGAAAAAGAATGATCCCATAGAGGAGGTAAAAGTCAGGCATCAGATGGATGGTATGGCCTTCAGTCTGACAGTGCCCACCCTGGCCTTGAAGATGCCCAATGGACTGGATGGGATGTCCCTCTCCCCTCCAGGGGCTAGGCTTCCTCTCCACTACTTGGAGGCAGAATTAGAAGACCCCTTTGCTTTCAACGAGGAGGATGATGACCTAAAGAAAGGGGCAACAGTGAGGAAAAAGTTGCAGAGCAAGTTGGCTCAAAACCGGCAGCGCCAGAGAGAGACAGAGATTTTAAAAGTTCGCCAAGAGCACTTTAGCCCCCTTCCTGCACCTTTGCAGCAGCAGCCTCTGCAGCAGCAGCACTCCCATCTGCCACCTTCATCAGCTTCATTAAAGCCGATAGGGCTACCGCAGGGCGTAGTCTGCAAGTCACCTCAACCTCCGAACACCAGCCTACCAATGCAGGGAGTGGCACCCACCACACACACTATAGCACAAGCCCGGCAGTTGTCTAACAAGAGACCTCTGCCTCTCCTGCCACCTGCTAGGGCTCCTGTCATGGACCCTCCAAGGACTGATCGGGTCCTCATGAAAGCCACAGCCTTTTCTCCACACTCGTCCTGCATGAGCCGGCTACAGAGACTGGTGAAACTGTGCACTCGAAAACAGCAGCTGGACACTGATCTGTTTCCACACTTAGGTGGGTAGATAGTAGATGCACTGCCTGCTTATTTTTTAACCTGAAGCCAAAAGACAAAAGGGGGATGTCTTCCTAGCCCTGTCCTGCATTCATGTGGGGTCCTTACAAAATAACCCTGAACTAGGTAATCTCTTGGTGTTTTCTTTAGCCCTGTTCTGTATGAAGGGAATGCCTGGACCCATCACATAAGGTTTATGGCATTTTGGTTGTTTATTATTCTTAATGTTCTGTTAACCATTTGAGAAATCAAACTGAGGTGTAGAAAGCATTGCTGGGATGATACAGATGTTGCACAGGTTTGCAACTTAAGTAGTAAAGGTGGCACAGCTGTACCTACATGAGTGGACAAGGTTAGACTGAATGTTAAATATGTGACAGGTGCACATTATAAAATGAGTGCAACTAGATGTTTGGAGATTTCACCCATTGTTCTGTACAGATCCAAATTTCCCATTGACTTGACTGGGAAAATTGGAACATAAGAGAATTTTTCTTCACTGGGCCCATTCTGGGTTCGTACAGAACGTGGATGAACAAAAGCAAAAGATAACTGCAGGAGGGCAGCACCGTTACAGAGGGGAGTTGGAGGGGTGGAGTCTTGTCCACATAGTCTCCTCCTTACCTATTATCTAGAAACCATAATAACCAGTTGCTGCTTGTGAAAATCTAAGTAGCTGTAACCAACTTGCTGCTGTGGCAGTAGTGCTCTATAAAGCTTTAAAAAGGCAGCTGACTGTGTGGCTTATTTTTCTGATTATGAATACATACCTACGTACGCCTAGATGTCTTTGTTCCTCACCTGCAAAAGTTACCTTACTTTTCTGCATAGTTTTAGATTGTGTTTTTCTAACAAGTAAAATACTGACAGGGAAAAGGGAAACGAGTCAGTGTGTGATATAAGATCGGAATGCATTGTGTTTGGGGAAAAAAAAAAATAAACAAAAAAACATCAGATAAAGCTGGACATTCTTCTTATAACATCTTACTTAATTGCAAATATATGAAAATTTTGCTATTTCAATTAACCTTGTTTTAATTTGCTGTTAAAATCTGCCCTTTGACACTCATGGGATAGCTTGACTATTTGTTCAGAAGATAATTAGCATCCCATAGCATGTCTCCAAAGGATGTTGTTCTTCAGAAAGCCGCTTTGATGGTCATACATACAATGCAGGTCTTTTGAGAAATGGCAACTCCAGAGGCACTTCAGAGTGTCACAGACCCCAATAGCTTAGAAAGTGAACTGTGTTTTGAAAGACTGTAGAACGATCACTTTCTGTGTTTAATGTTTTACATTCTCAAGAGGTGGAAATATTTTTTCCTAAATACTAAAAAACCCAATTAGCCCTGTAAATGTACAGTTATGCAGATGCATAACTCTATGTGTATGCAATTAGAACATTTTATATTTGGTGAAGTAACAGAGTTCACATATTAATTATGTGAGAGTAGAAAATATATTTGTTATTTATCCATAATATGCCTTAATATTAAAGACTACTTATGCCAGTTCAGAGAATTTCAAGATTTCTTTTTTGTGCTAAAGTAGCACTAGACTGCACAGAATCTTTGAAAAGATGCAGCCAGTTTTATGTGTACCTACATCAGAGCCATGTAGTTGGATATTAATGTAGAAGCAAAACAGCACAACCTGTTTTTATTTATTTTTTTTTTAAACTTTGGGTAAATAATTTGTTACATAGTATCAATTGTGGACATCCTTTTCCAATTGTTAAGTTGTCTTTTTATTCATTTATGGAAGGGGTGAGAGTAAAAAAACATTTAAGCTGAAAGTTGGTATTTTATCAAATGTCTTAAGATATCTTACTTTAGTTCAAATGCATATCTTAAAAATGAGGGTGATGAGGATGCTGAAGTTCCTGAAAAACAGAGTTTCTGATGGTTCTGGTTTATGCTAAAGTGTTGCTTCTAAATGATGAAGGTGCTCCTCACGATTGTATTCCAAGTGTCTCTGTGTATCTCTTACTCTGAAAGCAGGTGACCAAGTACTGATGCATTTCCCAACTTCAAAACATCTGACTTCAGAATAATCTCAGATATAGTAGTTTAGTTTATTTTTAGCAAAAATAAAGTGCTCCTTGACTCTGTCCCAACTGCACCTCCATTTTCAAGGAGCACACGAGAAAGTAAAAAAGTAATAATGCTGGCTTGTAAATGTAGCTGTGGGATTTTATCCCAACTGCTGCAAGGAATTGGCAAGAAATCCACTGGATGTGGGAGAGAGAAGGAAAAACTGCACAAGGTGAAGCTCCAGATAAAATGTTCCACCTGAGAACTTACTGGAATGTTTCTGGCTGTCCTGTTCAATGACTGTGTTTAGCTTGACTAACTGAGGCTGCTGGTGCGTACAATAAGTTGATCCTACAGCATCATTATTAAGCGAAAGTGTGCTGCTTAGTAAAAGTGCAGGAGTATTTGCATCTCTCTCTTTAGCTCTCTTTTCATGCTAATCTATGCATTTGGCAGGCAATTACAGAGACTGAGCACAGGAACATCCTGTGTAGCTGTGTATCTGTCTCTGCCCATGCTGCTCTGTCTTATGGTTTTCCTGTTCTCCCTGTGTTTTGGCACGGAGCAGGGGTCAGAATATAAACAGAAATGAAAGTGGCCTATTTAGATCATATAGTATTAAAAATTGGCAGGCAGTTAGTTCTTTGTGGCAGGGACTTCCCTGTTACCTTGTCTCTGAAGATTCCGTGTGCTTGGTATGAAAGCTTGTGATATTCTGTGAAAAGTGGTGATTTTTCTTCCACTGCTTACGAATAAAGAAGCCAGTAAGAATTTTAAAAGGAAAACTCAAATTTGACAAAAATCAGTGCATGCTATTTGCACACTGTAATGGAGCTATTACTGCAACTTTTCCTGTGTAATTGAGAATATTGTATGATTTAATCAGACAAAACATAATTGTGCTTGTGACTATACTACATGTTTATCTTTTGTGTCCTAGGTTGCTCAGAGACTTATATGAGGTGGATATACTTTTCATCCAGCTTTCATGTTTTCAATTCCCTTAGGGCTGGATTGGTCTGAAGACAGTGGAGAAGAGTTGGAGGATTCAGAGCAAACCTCTCCTTACCAGGTTGCATGGTCTATCCGAGAAACCCTTGGCTATGAGAGACTTGAGTGAGTATGATTATTTAGTATTCATGCTTGCCTCGATGGAATAAATCATGTAAATGTGAGCTTCACTTCAAGTGGAGTCAGTGGAACCTAAGCACTTGTTCCAGTGCTTTGCTGAAACAAAGAATTGTTTGCACTCATTTGTTTCTAAGAGCCGTGAAACAGCTTGTTGCCTTCTGTCCCAGTTTCCATGTAACTTAGCGACGACGACCTGTGTGCAGTCTGCTATCAGAAGGATGCATCAGGAGAGAATTTAAGCTTATTTGCCTAAATTTAATTGAGTTTACTGGGATTTATTAATGAACTTGTGTGCCTTGCTGAGTAGAGGTATTTCCTGAGTTAGAACCAAATGAAAGGAGCTGCTATGAGTTTCTTGTCTTTCCTACTATCTGTGAATAACTTTGTTAGTAAACTTGCTACATTTTATTTGTTAATCATATTGTAATTATGCAGGATGTTGTTTTAATGTATTTTTTTAAAGGGCATGGCATTTCTTTTCATAATTAAGTGTTGAGTAAACCTCTGTCAAATATTTGGGAGCATTGGAAGGAAGTGATGTGATTGAAGGTATAAGCAGAGCAGGTATTAGCTGCTGGTGCAGAAAGGCTGACAGTGTTCTCTATATATTGCTAAGTCATTGATCTGACTTTACAGCAGGATATAAAACCTTTACAGCAGGATATAATAATGTGTGCCTATTAATGTAAATTTTAAGGTGCAAAGTTAAAGCAAAGCATCCCAACCATAGTTTTTTAACAAAACTGGAACACATTGATAACAAAAGGAAACTGGAGTCTCAATAAAGTTTGATTGTCGTTTCTGTAACTACAATAGATGATTGTCTTTCACTATGCAACTAGACTTTTTGATACTACAACTCTTTTCCATTTGTTTAATTTTTAAATAACCCAATTAGAGTAATTATGTTTATGAAACATTATTTTATTGTTACATTGTAATTCTGAAACTTACCAGAACTTCTTACCATCTCTAAAGACTGTTCACAGGGTGAATAACAAAGCTGTATCTCTGTCATCAGGACAGACACTGGGATACTAAATAGTCTGAGCCTTCAGCAAATCAAAGCTTAATAACAGTGTGTAGACTTTCCTTTTTTTTAAAAAAAAAAAGGATTTTTTCTGTTATGAATTGCCATTGTTTTTTAGGGCATCAGCAGTAAGAGACTGAGCTTTCACAAACAGTTTTAACTTAAAAAGCAACTTTTAAATAAACTGGTTTGAGAAAACATGAATAGAGTTTCAGACTTTTAAATCATACATAATTTTCAAAGTAGATATATCTATTAAATAGATATAAATAACTTCCCTTACACTCTTCTCTCTTTGACATTTGATCTGCTTCTTCTGTAGATCTTTGGGTTTTTTGTCAGCTTATAAAGGTCATCTCTGTGTGTTTTGTCTTCTATTTGTGTTAACTTTCTTTGGATTCTTTCTACTCTTTTCACATACTGAGAGAAAATAATACCTTGTCTTGACGTTTTCTGTTCCGTTCTAGCATTTTGTGCACTTCAATTAAACACTGCCTTAACTAAGTCATGATGGATAAATTTTTATATGGTATTGGCTGCTTTTGTACTTCCATCAGCCTGTAGAGTGGTAGTTGTTCAACAACTTTCCTAATTGTGTTTACAGATGAACACTGATACATTCACTTGATGTCAACCTTCTAAAACTTTAATTCCTATTCTGCAAGCTTCCATACAGGTTTTTATTACCTCAAATGTTTCACTTTGACACTTTTGCAGTGTGGTCTGTCTGCTACTGAAGATGAATTAGTTCAAACTATTTCTTGGGTGATTTGATTTGTCAAAATAGCTGTCTTGCTAATCTGATGGTGCAGACTGGTGGCTCCTAATTTAGTCAGCCAATGACTTGTTATGACTCTGAACTTGGGAGGTTAATTTCACCAGAAAACCAATGGAGATTGTTTTCCAAAACCTTTAGGTTTTGAAATTGCATTCCTAAACCTATGAGAATTTACTTACTGTTTTTCAAAACTATTTTTTCTGTGTGCATTTGTCTCTGAGCTTGTGGTCTCTGTGTGAAGGGGATAACTCCACCAGCTAGTTGCGTTCTGTTGTTTTCCATTTGGGTCTGTGGAGGACAGCGGGAGGGATGCTTCTCAGAACTGATTAATAAAAGAAAGCAAACAGGTTAATTTCTGCCTTACTGGACAGCTCGTTTTCAGCATTTCTGGTTGTATGATTGTGGGGAGAATCCTCTAACTTTCTGTTGATTTTCATGTGTGGTACTCCAGCTGTTTTGAAACTCTTAGAAATTCACCAGATTAGTTTAAAGTTAATATCTTAACAGTAAGACATTTTTGAGCTCACTTGCCTTCTGGCCATTTAATCTGTAAGATTCATATTGTTGCAGTCATCTGTGGAAACACAGGCCAAATGTTTGCTTTTATTATTCTGTCCTTTAATTTTGAAAAATCAGGTTCATGTGGTCAGAGGATTCCAGGATGGAGCACTTCAAGGCAGGCACAATGTTTGAGTTCAAGCAGTAGCACAGGAGTTGGCACCAGGCGCAGCGCAGGCAGGGCCAGCTGGCAGGGAGCTGCTGGGGTGAGAGGAATTCCTTGCAGGACCAGCAGTTCGGAGGGAAAGCAGAGGGTGTTCCCTGCCATAGATTAGCAAAGCTTCCCCCTGGATGATTCCATTACTGGATCTTGTAGCTTAGAAAATACTGGAAAACAAATTACTTTACAACAAAGTAGTTTTTCCGCTTCCTACACTGAAATATAGATAAAGCGAGTGTTTCAAGTAGTGAGTTTGAAAAGGGAGTGTGGGGATTGGAGCCCCTTCTCGTACCAGCTCACTCAAAGGAGCAAATTTCTACACTGTATTGTCAAAGTTGGATTTAATAACTCCCAATAACTACAAGAACTAAAAGGAAGAAGGGAAGGTTCTTCAAATCCCTCCTTACAGAGAGTTTTGAAGTTCCGTTGCTGGTGTGTCTCAGAGCATGTTCTCCTGCTTCCCTGATGGAGCCCGACTGCTTGCGCTACCCTTTTGCTCTTCCCTTCTGCTGCTTCGTGTTGCCTTTGTTTTCTTCATGAACACTCAGCAATAATTCCCCTGATATTTACACATGACAATGTTAAAGGGAAGGGTTAGGAAGAAGCATTTTGGATTATCAAATGGTTTGCATGCACTTTCAGAAATCTTTTAAGAAATGAAATGTCACACGTTAAGTTGAACTTCAGAAGTTATATAGGCAGCTTAGAGAATAAACTAAATCGGAGTTGGTAAACTTGTTTATGAAAGGACAACTGTAAAAGTACCTTTCAATTTCAGTACTTGCCTAGCAAAAAAAAAAAAAAAAGAGAGATGTTATTGTGATGTTTTTATATTTCTTTGAACTTATAAATATATTTTTATTAATCTTACTGGCCTGGAAACAAAATTCTGAATAGGCTTTTAGAAACTGTTTACCTCAAAATAAGCCTAGGCATGATTTCTTTCTATCTCTTGTATATATGTCTTCATTTACTTTTTTAAAAGGATCTCATAAACTGCAGCTCAAAATATTTTTACATATGATGACTTTTTTCTGTCTGTTTCAATGGGAGGGAAGTAAAAAGTCTCAAATATAGAGATATTTGCATTAAAAAATCACCCTTTCTACCCAAAATAAATACTTTTTCCCTAAGGAATATTTCTGTCTTTTCTTAAAGTTAATTTGTGACCGTATTTAAAATTAAATCGGTATGTCTGCAACTCTGTTTAAAAATATTGGCCTAGAACAGTAATGAAATATCTAAGACCTTAGACCGACCTATACCTCACTGATCCCATCCGTGTTTTCCTGTTTTCTATTAATATGTTGGAAAAAGGAAAGTCTGCATTAAGTAGCACACAATTAAATTATTCTAAACCGGTTGTTTTTCCCAGTAGGCCTTCTTTCCTAAGAGATCTTAAAATTTTACTTTGTTTCATTTTCAATGTGAAAATATTTTAAACATTACGTATGCTAAATATTTTTAATAAGTTGTATTTGCTGCTAAGCATTTAATTGCAGAGGTTAATTGCTTGTAATTTATGCTTCTAGAAAATAATCTATAATCTGTTTTAACAAACAAAATACATAGTATGGTTGACTTTGCATAAAACTTTATAAAACATTTGTGTCAAGGCAATGTTTGCTCCTGCAGAGTTTTTGAGGGCAGCCGTAGTGGAGATGGATGCAGTCTCTTACATTTAGCCTGCATGTGAACAGGATAAAATTTTCCAGAAAGGAAAGTAGGTCTCAGTCATATTGCCTTTCAGGGGCAGCTATTCTGCCTGCATTTCTGGATCTTACTTTATTTGGTAAATATCATGGTTGGTATTTCAGATCTCTTCTGTCATCAGCTAGTTGTGGTCCCTTCTGCTGTGCGCGGGCTTGGATGTCAGCTCATTTAATCTTGCTGGCCAAGCTCGGCAGTTTGAACCTTGGGAGCTTTTGATTTGCTTTATTTGTTTGGACTTGTTTTCTTCCCCCTGTCCTTCTTTTATTTTACAAATAGGAAAATTAGGAAGAAGTTTCTCTGTTCTATAGGGAAAAACTTAAAGCAAAAACTGAGCAAAGTCTGCTTTCCTTCGATTCAGTGCATGCTCTTTGTTGCTCCATGAAGAAAAAAAATCATTCTACAAACTAGTACTTGTTGTGGAGGACTTCTGGGTAGCTTCATGGATCTTGTTGTTTTAGCAAGTCCCAGTGATGATTTTATTATGTTTCATGATTGTTAGTTCATTTAACTGAATGCGTTGACGTGGTTTGATGGTCTTGTTGATATGTGCTTTGACGTTCAGAAAGCCAAGATAAATGGGAAAAGGCAAGCAAAGAATTGGATCAGTCCTTCATCTGGTCATTGTTTATCCCTGGTCTGATTGTTTCCTCAGTACCTTTGGAGTTAAATGTGAATTTCTGCTCCACGGCTGTACTGTAACTCAACCTTAACTCTGCAGAAAGGGGAAAGCAATATCTAGTGCTAGCTGTGTGAGTGTGTATTTTGGTTTAGGAAGGAAAACACCACCTGGCAGAATAAGAGGAATCGGAAAAGGTCAGCAGTTTTGGTACTTGTTAGAATTTGACCATTTTCTCCAGCATGACCTTTCTTCAATAAATTTCCACTACATAGTTCCCCACCCTTGTCCTCTCCATTAACTGCACTTTGATTTAAGAGTTTGTCTCATTTGCTGAGACATTTACAGTAAATAAAGGTTAACAGTATAGATTTTTTTTTGAACAGCAGGCTCCAGACATTTAAATGTGTCAGACTTGATGATAAATTGATGTAATCTCTAATAATGACATACTAAGAAGAGTAAGTACCGTTAGAATTCAAAAGGGATCCTGCTCTTACCATTTCTTAAGCATCCCTCCCTGATTTCAGCCTTTGGATATTTGTGGGGCTAGAAGATGTGGGGCCAACTTAACAATTCTATTAAAATGAGAAATGAACTTCCATGGCAAAAAACCCCAAATACTTAAAGCCCATTTGGTTTGGTTTTGTTTTTTTTCCTCCTCTAGGTCCGATGATGACAATGCAGATGACAGGAGTTCCAGGGTGACCAGACTTTGCACTTACTTTCAGCAGAAATACAAGCACCTCTGCCGCCTGGAGCGGGCAGAATCTCGTCAGAAGAAATGCCGGCATACGCTCCGGAAAGCCTTGCTGCAGGCGGCCAGCAGAGAACCGGAGCATGCTGGGCAACTAATAGAAGAACTCCGAAGAGCTACGTGTGCTCGTACCAGGTTAGACCTTCCCCTGTGACTGTAGTAGCCCAGGGTCTGGACAGGGTGGAGATGGGCAGAGTATCCAGCAGCTGAAATGCTGAACTCTGAAACTGGTAGGCATGCATGAGGCAGAAAAACTATGGCACATAAATGCCTGTCAGTTGAGTAAAATAAGCATGGCATACATACCAGTGTTTTCATAGAATCATAGAATGGTTTGGGTTGGAAGGGACCTTAAAGATCATCTAGTTCCAACCCCCCTGCCATGAGCAGGGACACCTTCCACTAGACCAGGTTGCTCAAAGCCTCCTCCAGCCTGGCCTTGAACACTTCCAGGGAGGGGGCAGCCACAGCTTCTCTGGGCAACCAGTTCCAGTGTCTGACCACCCTCACAGTGAAGAATTTCTTCCTAATATCTAATCTAAACCCACCCTCTTCCAGCTTAAAGCCATTTCCCCTTGTTTTGTCATTAACTGCCCTTATGAAAAGTCCCTCCCCAGCTTTCTTGTAGGCCCTGCCTTTTCCATGAAGATAGGCATTCTCCAGCTTTGTGTTTTAAAATGTGGATTGTTTGTTCATCAGTATCTGGGCTTGATTTCTTAAATGTCACAAAGAAGTTAGTGGCCTGCTAAAATTTGTTGTTATTAATTAATCTATGTATTTTGGCTGCCTTCAAATATCTTTTACTTTACGAAGCCCAGTTCTTTAGAAAGTGTGCAGTCTGGTCTGCAGTTCACTGCTTCAATTCAGATTTCGTTTTTCAGACAGCTTTTTTTGAAAAGTGTACATCCTCTTAATTCTCTTCCCAGCAAATCAAACTTAAGCTCATGATTTTTGTTAGATTTAACTCAATCTAACATTAAATGAAACTTGAAACTTGGCAGCAAAATAAATATCTTCTAACAACTCTGAAGGTTACCTTCTGTGGGAATTCTTTCTAGATAATGTCAACATCCCTCCAGCTCTCAGCATACTGAGAGTTGGTTGGTTCATACTTGTGCAGAAACAGAGTAAGTCTGAACCCTGGCGTTATGTCTTGGGTACCAGCGTCCTTTTGCTGTTATGGTTTTGCTTTACAGGATGTCTGACTGTGGTGGGTAGTGGGGGCTAACATGAGAGGCAAGCTGGAGCAGGGTGCTGAGAGTATATTCTGGTTATGGGATGCTTTTGTTCCTGGACAGTGGGCTGTGGTTCATGACAGTTGAAGGGTTTATTGTTGGGGAGGTGGAGTGATGTTGAAGAGCTGCTGAGAGGTGTAATGTAGAGGTACATTACTAGTTTATGAAGTTGTGTAAATGTCTCCAAACTTAAACTACAGCAAAACCTTGCCAAAACTGGCAAGCTCTTGCTGTTTTTTCCCATTATTTTTGTCTTTTATTATGCAAAAAAGCTTACATTGTTTTGGGTAGACTGGCAAAGGCAGGTATGCCTATCATCACTGCTCTGGTTAATTTAAGTAACCGCAGAGTCTTTTCAGTTACAAAATTTTTCACAGGATTAATATTGCTAACTAAAACTTTGCTGAGTCAAAGTGCAGTCGATGACAGAAATGGCTGAAGGAAAACAGTCAGGCTGCAGACAGCTTTTTGTCAACCTAGAAAACAACGTGTACAGAGGTGAAATTCAGCCCTGGAATCGCCAGCTTTATCTACACGAAGGTGACAAATGCCTCAAAAGCAGGCTAACACTGAGCGAGCTGTGTAACGCTTGCAGTACTCATCCACACTGCTGTCTGGTCGCCTGCTTGCAGCTCAAGCTCAAAGCATTGAGGCTGTGCTGAGGAGGTGCTCAGCTCTGGGCACCTGCTGGTGGATTGGGCTGTAGCACGTTGATGAAGGAGAGCTTTTACCCATGTTGAGCACGCTCAGGCTCTGCCACTCCAGAGCTCAGTCTAAGTTTGTCTGAGCACATGCTTGCATGTAAGCTCTGGGGATGCTCGGCATGTTTTGATTTATGAACAGGCTTGGAAGTGCACTTGACTGCCCATGTAGGCATACCTAGTACATTGTATTCTAAAGGTTTACCTGTGTTGACACTCACCTACTGCTGTCCTTGCTCTTTTGCAGGGTGTTGTAATATTTACATGGTAGTCGCACACAGCACCTCTCATTACAATTAAGGCCCTGTGAAGTAAACAATAATCCTGTTACTGCAGTCACACCTTCACCTGTCATTGACATCTCTTGTGTATCTCTTTGTAGAGTCTGGTAGTAGTGTGCACCCATCTGGACCATGACACACACACATGTGTGTTATAATTTTTCATCCTACTGTGCTACGTTCCGTGCTATAGTTGTGCTAAGTAACTACCTGAGACTGGGTTTTTGTCTCTAAACTCTTTTCTACTTTTTTTTTTCAGCACAAGCCAAGTGAGGCAGAGAGATGCAGAACCAACAACCTGTAGTGGAACTTCAAAGGGAGAACAGTGCACTAACAAGGCCCTTCCATTTACCAGGCATTGTTTTCAGCGTATCCTCTTAACTGTGTCTGGGAGTTGCATTCAGGCTGGAAGCTGTTCTGTTTTAGGGGTTTTTGTTTGGTTTTGCATTGACAAATAATGTTTTCACAAAAAAAATACCTATTTGTTAGTGTCTTATCAACTACTACTCTTTTAGTTTGTCAAAAATACCTATTTGTTAGTGTCTTATCAACTGCTACTCTTTTAGTTTGCGTGATTTGGATCTGTAGACAATGAAGATAAGTAGTTTGCTACTGGTATCTGTCATAGTCCCATTGTTTTACTTTGTAAGCTGTATATAGTAGGTGCAAGAAGCCTTTACAAAAATTATCATCTTTCACAGATGACTTGGTACAAACCACCAGCCTCATGGCTTTCATTCAGTTCTTGGTAGGTAGGCTAACTATCTGTGAAAGGTTTATGGGGCTAAGTTTTTACACATAGTATAAAAAGATGGCTTACACTGACTAGAAAAAAAAAATCTGTTTCAAGAAGCAGAATAGAAGTAGTCACAGAATCCAAATTCTAGATGAGGAAGAATTTCCAATGCTGAGGTTTTCAAGCAAAGCCTGAAAAGGATATTAAAAGTCAGTGCATGAAGGTCGCAGAAAAGAGGGAGCACAATGGATGTGAGGTTTGATTCTGAAGACTATAAACGGGTAGACTTCTCACCTGGAATACCTAAGAATTTTGCAGACTTTGTCTTTTTTGGTTTTAGCTGAAGAATTGTTGGCACTTTCATTGGAGTGACACTTTTTGTTTGAGGTTTTGGTATTTTAAGAAACTAGTGCTGATCTGTTCCAGTTGCTATCAGACTGCAGCATCTTTTCAGTCTTTTTGGTTTGCAGATGTCTTGTTTTTCTTGGTTGGTTTTTGCAGGCCCCTTAAAAGTAGTCTGCAGAGCAGTTCAAAACCTCTCTATGAGAGAGCATCATGGTGTGCAGCTGTGTTTGGGATTTGCCTCGTGATTCTGATTTTTTTATTTTTTATTTTTTGAAAGTTTAAATGGTCTTGCTTGTTGGCATGTGTAGAGTGTAGAGCATAGAAGTCAAGACTAGTGATTTTGCATTTGTGCCCATTTTTTCCCTCTTCACTTTCTTCTCAATGGAAACAGTCTTTCTTAAAAATGAGCAGGCTCTTGGTTCTGACCCATCTGTCCAAGTCTGCCATCTGGACTGTTCTGCAGGTTTTCCATTTTCTTTGTCCTTTCTTTTGCGTTTTAGCATTTTCTGAACGTACACAGTGATGTGGAGGTCTGAGAACTGTTCAAGATGGAAGGAGTGCTTGTAATGTTGTTTGAAAAAACACAATGAAATATCTGTTTGATTTGCTCTAAGTCTGGAAACATTTTCACTCCTGCAGGGGATTTTTCTGAAGGAAATCTCAGCAAGCTTGCATTTGGATTTACTTGACCTTTCTGTCTGATTGCACATCTTTTTTTCAGAGGAGCAGGAAGGATCTTGAAACTTCTTTGTGCTCTAAAGATAAATGCCAAGAACATGCCTTAAAAGATTAAATTAAGAAATACTCTTTCTTTAATGTTTCAGTATGGATTGTCATTAGTCTGTAAGGAAATAGTCCTGTTGACTACACTATTCCAACTGCTACTATTGATCTATTGATTAAGACTCCAGGAAAAGACTTCTTTTTGCTAAGAACTCGTTAATGAAATGGCTGCTTCTGTAAAACTATCTCAATATATAATAAAATCATTAGAGATTCTGCATGAATGCAGTTTTTCACTTTAAAATTTGGGTTTGAGCCTTACCTAGCTTTGAACTTGAATAACAAAGTTAAGGTACTCATTAAAAATAGCAGCTATGGACAGGTAGAGTTGAAGGCTCTGATCTTCATCAGATTGATAAATCAAAGGGCGTTCCTCCATCATTGTCGTATGTGTTATTCCTGATGCAGAAATGCACAGATATCTTATTGAACCGTTCTCAGCAGCTCTTCTCAAGTTGCACAGCCAAGTTTGCAGATGGTCAACAGTGCTCTGTGCCAGTTTTTGACATTACACATCAGACACCTCTGTGTGAAGAACATGCCAAAAAAATGGTAAGTACAAGGCCAAAACTGTAGTTATTTGTGTGTTGGAATGATCAGGAGTTTTAGCCCCAGTCTTTCTATAACTCTTGCTTGACAAATAGCAAGTTTATGAACTGAAGAACTCACTTCCTTTTATTTTTCTGAAGAGGGTAAAACATGCCAAATATTCCCAATAGTATAAGGTATGTTGTGAAAATCTTTTACATACTTTTGAGGATATAATAAAGTGTGTATGAATGAGAGTATCCTTCACCGGAAGAAATTTTATTCCTCTCTTGAATCAAGAAATAGAAAATCATTGTGAGAGATCCTGTGGCCATTTTAGTTGGGCTCACTCCTGGCCCTTGGATCTGAATGTAATACAAGTATGATATGGTAAGAACACTGCATCTCAAACAGTCTCAGTACATGGGGCCCAAAATATTTTCTAGGGGAAGTATAGACAGCAATTAGAAGCATACAAATAATAGTTTTGCTGCTTTCTTTACCTTTTGGTGACTATTAGAGTTTATCTTTAACCTCCTTCAGCAATATGTGGATCCCAGAGGAAAAGCAGTGGCCTACTACAAGTTGAGAGAATGCAGAAATTAAGATGATATCATCTGCTCTCCTTTTATGCCACCCATCTTCCAGAACAAAACTTTCAGGATAGCTCACAAACCCACTTCTCTCTTGCCTCTCCTTCAAGGCATTAGGTGTAAAACTGCCTTTTTTTTTCTGTTGTTGGGGTTTTTTGTTATTGTATTTGTCCAGCCTCTCCAATACTTGTGAATTATGGAGTTTTCTGGATCAAGATATGAGGATCTGTGCTGTACAGATTTGTATGGGATTTTCCCCTCTCTCTGGCAATCTTCAGTGTGTCTCTCAAGTTTTCCTTTTGTAGCACATACAATCCTCTTCCATTCATAGTATGGTGGCAACTGAAAACTGATGATGGTTTTGTTTATTTTTTAATTGGTCAGTGATTGCTGTTCAAAAGCAATGAGACCTTAGTTGTTTACCCACATCCTTACCCTAGACCTGCAGTATTAATTCTGTTTCCTCAGTGCTGTCCCTCTTTTATGGCAATGGGCACTTGAGGATGCTGGCTTCAGCTGCTGCACATTGTCCTTGTTATCGCCACCTCACAACAGTGTTCTGTTCTGTTACTTACAGGAATGCTACCAAAGATTAGAGTTTGGAATTGATTTAGTTAAGGTTTACTATGATGATTTTTGAAGTGACACTGCACTATCTCCTGCTTAGCATACCTCATAATGTGGTCTATGTGAGTTTTGCCATTTGGAACAATGCGGAAGGAAACATTAATTTTTGTAATCTTGCCTGGGTGTAAGTTATCAGTCTCTCTTGCATTACATATGAATGTCTGTGGAATGATGAGGGGGGAAAAAACAGGGAAAGTAATACTTGTTCTTAATATACTCCCATTGCTATTGTTTTTTTCCCAAAGGATAATTTCTTGAGAGGGGACAGCTCCCGTAAAGTTCAGCACCAGCAGCAGAGGAAACCCAGGAAAAAAACAAAGCCACCTGCACTTACCAAAAAACACAAGAAGAAGAGAAGGCGAGGCCCACGCCGGCCTCAGAAGCCCATTCCTCCTGCAGTGCCCCAAGGGAACCTCACCATGCCTGCCAGTGTCTCACTGCCAGTAGAGATGCCCCACATACGGTCAGTGGTAGCCCTGCCCCAGTTTGCCCACTGCTAGCTTGAACGTTGCCAATGGGCCTTATAGAAAGGTGTGATGTTGCTGTGCTGATCAACATCTGGAGCAGGGCTAGAAATTGCATCTCCAGGTGACTGTTGAAAAAAACCTGAGTGGGTCATTTTAAATTTGAGCAATTACTGAATTTGACTGATAAAATATCTTGCTCCTGATGCCCATCTTATGTATTTAATCAATAGACTAAGTGTAAGCTTCCTAAAGAAACTTTGTGTAAGTGTTTTATTTCTAGGTGATGGGGGAGAAAAAAAAAAAAGGTGTGAGGAAGCACTCGTTATGTATGGATATACATTCATAGTTGTTGTTTGGAGGAATCAGAGTTAAATATTGTGGACTTAAAGTACTTTCTGTCCAGGAGCCCCTCCACACCAGACCTGAGTGCTGATGAGCTGCCTGATGATATCGCCAACGAAATCACAGACATTCCACATGACTTGGAATTGAATCAGGAGGACTTCTCTGATGTCCTGCCACGGCTGCCCGATGACTTGCAAGATTTTGATTTCTTTGAAGGTACCATTTTATTTTATGCTAACATAAACACAGTCAGTGAACTGAAGAAGTGAGTGTTTCTAAAATGCCTTTTGAGGGTTTGCTTGCTTTCCTACAGAGGTAATAACTTCTAGAGAAGGAAGTGTGCATTTGCTCTATTGTTTGTTTGTGAGCTCTGAAGTAAAGCAGACTTTAAGAAGACTAGTGTGTGTAGTTTTCTGCTTGCCCTTATAATTACTGCTCTGAAAATCCTGATTGGTTCAGTATTTTATTAATTCATTTTACACTTTTACTGCCTGTCAGTGTTGCAGTTTAATCAAGAGTATTCTCAGTAATGACATCTTTCTGCCATCGAGTGGGGCTGGAATCACAGTCAATGTTGGCCTTTGATAAAAGGAGACAAGAGTGAGAATAAAATCTTTAAACACATTTTTGAAACTAGCTTTTGATCAGAGCTGTGTCTGAATTTCTGGATTCTGTAGCTCAGTACCTATCACAGATAACAAAGAAATTAGAACAGCTCAGAGTTGGGATATGTGAGTTCTTTGGTCATTTTCTGGTGTGACATGACATCAGTCTGTGTTTGAGTTGAAATTAACCTAAATTATACTGACTATGTAAATTTTAGGTCCAGACTGTAATGTGGTAAGTAGAAGGGAGTTTGTGGGCTATTTTTGTTATTGTAGTATTAAGAAAATTTTATTTAAGTATTTTTACTTTCAGTCTAGTGAGTTTGGGAGGCATCTTGCATTGTAGTATGTGGAAGAGGAGGGCAGAGAGAAGTTGACAATGAAGGTGTAATTTCTTGGTTTGCTTACCTAGTGAACACTGCTGAAGGAAATTTTCTGTGTACCACAAGCCATTCTGGAAGGGTATCATACACTTCAGCTCTGTACTGATGTGTCTGTACATCTGCATCCTTAGAGTGCCAGTGCCAAGCTCACCTGAGAGGAGTGTGCTAACTTCTGGTGTCCCTGTTTCTGCAGGTAAAAATGGAGATCTCCTTCCAACTACAGAAGAGGCTGAAGAACTGGAACGGGCTCTACAGGCTGTAACTTCTCTTGAGTGCCTGAGTACCATTGGAGTACTTACACAGACAGATGGTGTGCCAGTTCAGGAGCTGTCAGATAGAGGGATAGGGGTATTCTCTACAGGTGCTGGAGCTCCAGGAATGCAGTCCTTGAGTCGAGAGGTTAACACGGATCTGGGGGAGCTGTTGAATGGGCGTATAGTACATGATAATTTCTCCGGTCTGGAGCTGGATGAGAACTTGCTCCGTTCTGCTACCTTGTCCAACCCACCTACGCCCCTGTCAGGGCAGATCCAGGGGCAATTCTCAGCCCCAGCCAACGTCGGCCTTACTTCTGCCACTCTCATAAGCCAGAGTGGCCTTGGGGAGAGAGCCTTCCCAGGACAGTTTCATGGACTTCACGATGGCAGCCATGCCTCCCAGAGGCCCCACCCTGCCCAGCTGCTGAGCAAGGCAGATGACCTGATCACCTCACGACAGCAATACAGCAGTGACCATTCACACTCCTCACCCCATGGAAGCCATTATGATAGTGAGCATGTGCCGTCTCCCTACAGTGACCATATCACATCCCCTCACACCACATCCTTTTCTGGTGATAACTTGGCAGCTACCTTCTCAGCAGAGATGCCCATGATGGCACAGCACTTGCTCCCAACTCAGCTGGATGTGCCACTTAGCGGGGTGGTCAACCCCAGAACTCACTGGGGAAATCTTCCTGTCAATCTTGGGGACCCCTCTCCGTTTAGCAACCTTCTTGGTGCAGATGGACACCTCCTGTCCACCTCCCTGTCCACACCACCTACCACCTCGCACTCAGAGACCACACAGCCTGCCTTCGCCACTGTGACCCCCAACAGCTCCAGTGTGCTTCCGGGGTTACCACAGACCAGTTTTAGTGGCATGGGTCCTGCCTCTGCTGAACTCATGGCCTCCACCTCCCCTAAACAACAGCTCCCTCAGTTCAGCGCAGCCTTTGGGCACCAGCTGAGCTCCCACAGTGGCATCCCCAAGGACCTGCAGCCCAGCCACAGCTCCATAGCTCCTCCCACGGGCTTCGCAGTGACCGGTGCCACCGCTACCAGTACCAATAATGCATCTGCGCCCTTCACCACCTCCAACTGAGCTTGTCTGCCTGGCTCTGTGCAGGTAGATGGGGGACCTGTGTTTTCTGTCTTTCTTTTTTTCCTTTTTCTTTATTTCTTCTGTCCTCCCTTCCCTTTTTTTCAAGAGGGGGTTGAGAAGAAAACCCCTGCTTCAGTACTGACCAGGGTTAGCCCTCTGTGAACCTTGCTGTAGCGTTCACATGTGCTTGTTACGCACCGGTGCTCATTTATTGCAGGCGGGTTTACCGTTCCCCCATAATTCCTTAAGGATACAGCACAGTTACTGGATGTAATTGATCATAGCAGTAAGACCTAGAAGTGGGAAGATACCTCAGATTACTGATGCATGTTACTGTTTCCTAGGGTTCAGATCAGTGCTTGCCATCCCTTTAGCATCTGGTAGGAAGTTTTCCAGTGGGCAGGCATCTTGATTTTATTTTTTTTTTTAAATTTACTTTTTGCAAAGGTAGCATCTGGCATGGAAAACTTCGCTGCAGGCATTGATTTGAGAAGTCCTAAATCAAGATCATGGTTCAAGGATGAGTTTGGCAGTTTCTTAAAATAGTCTCTTGACCTCCTCTGTGTGCGTGTGTGTGTTTGGGGTGCAGGGAGCAGCAGTTCCTTTTCTTCTTTTGGTTAAGAAGAGGGAGTTGTCCTCTTCCAGAATTGGTCACTGTTCTTACTGCATGCTGATTTTTGGTTTTTTTATTATGATGGCTTTTAATTCGTTGAGCAGCAAGGGGATCAGTTGACTGGTTGCCCAGAATCTGAAGACTGATACAAAGTTAGCCCAGGGAAAAAATAAAAGAAGAACAGAAGGATTGAAATAGATCATGGATTAGTGAAGATTCCTGTGCAGAAATTCCCTCCCTTGCTGAATTACTGTGGCCTTGTAGCATTGATGATTTGCCTTTTCAAGTGTGGCATTGTCCAGAACTCCTTATCTGACAGGTATTTCCCAGATGAAACTGGAAGAATTTGGTTTGGTATTCTGCCCGTCCACACAAGTCTAGGTCAGACCCTTTGGTAAGTTTCAAATGGATGCATTTCTCTAATTATGACTAGCTAGTGACACTTTTTTGATAGTTTTTTCCTCCCTGGGAGCCTTTTTTTTTTTTTTCTTGACACTTGTAGGATTTTGTGCTCTGTATGGGAAGCTGAATGTATGTAAGAAGCTAGCAGGTACCTATCAGCGGTCGTGGCTAACCAAAAGAGAAATCACTAAAGCAAAATAGATAAGAATTCCTTCTGTCTGCAGGACATTTTTGCTTTTACTGCCCACCTGCTAAAGATAGTATTCAGACTCTTTGGTAGTAATTTAAGTTCTTAAAGAAAGGAGTCCACTAGCTTTTAGATTTTTTTTTTTTTAAATTTTATTTTATACTTTTTAATCCAAGAGAGAACAGCAGCAGAAATTCTGAGGTATTTACTCGCATCTCTTTATCAGGAAGGGAAAAAAGGAATTTGCTTGTGACTTTATAGGGCTCAAACTTGCTACTGTACTCTGACTGTAAAAGTAGTTCCTACTTAGTATAACAAGTCTCTACTGTTCTTGGTTTGTTTCTGAGGTGTAGATGAGAGAGAATAGTAAATCCCACATTTCAGTCTCTTACTGTAGAAGACAGATTTAATTCTACCTTACAGTAAAACATCCTACCTGCAGGTATTCTAGTCTCATTCAGGAAATAAAGAGATACCAAGCACATGTAGTAGGGAGGCCTAATAAATTGTTTGAGCAAGGGATCATTGAATGAAGTTTAGTTGCTATAGAAATTCATTTTATTAGCAGTCAGGCCCACACCAAAATCTCTGACCCAAACCTCTCCTTCCATCTTGCTAAGGAACAGGATTTAAACGAGATAGGTCTTGTGTCTTCTTACTGTCATAGCACTCATACTATCCCTCTTTTCTTGCAAGATTTGTTCTTAAATATAAAGGAGTATGGATGATGCATATGTCCTTTTCTGAAATTGCAAGTGTATGTGGGTGGAGGAAACAAAAATTATTTTCATGCTTCTGTTGTTATGAAGTCTTATTTCATACTTGGTAAAATAGATCTTAATAATATAAGCTGAATATTTTTAAGTGGTGATTTAAATATGTTTGTAACATTTAAATGTTTTTAAATCATGTAAAAAGTTGAATTGAAGCCTATGAAATCCTGCTTGTGATTGTCCTGCTGATTGAGGAATGCCCAGTGGTATTGTGAAATGAGGCAAATCTGACAAGGCATTTATTTATTTTTGTATTATGTTCCCCATACTTTGTTGAGGAGACAACTGTTTGATTTGCAAATGATTTTCGTTGTGTCCATATACCTTCTTCAATGGGTTTGGATGACTGAAAAAGAGTGGAGAACTAGTATATGAAGTGATTAATTCTTTAATCTGCTTGTGTATTCATGTCATTTTAGAGGATGTTAATTTCTATAAACTGGTTTCAGGACTTTTGAAATAATTTTTGTGCCCATCAAACTCTTTAATGAATCTGCAGCTAGTACAGAGTATATTTGCTCCATATCACATTTCTCTTTCTTAGCAAATGCTGGGGGGGAAGGGAGGAGAGGAACTGAGAGCCAAGTTCTGCTTGCTTGTGTTGGTATAAGTTACAGAGGAGCTCTTTGGTCTAAGGTCACTGTCAGTTTGTACTGATCTAACTTGGAACAGAACACAGCTCCTAATCTGAGCATCATTGTAGGGAATTTCAAAAGCTGTCAAAGCTCTGCAGGTCCATAATTCCCATTTGAAATCAGTGGCTGTTAAGTACCTGCATTCCTTTAAGGCAGCCTAGGTTATCAACTCTCTTCCCTTGCTTAGACTTCAATTTTTGTATATCCCTTGATGACTCTTCCCTGAAAAGTGACTACGTAACATTTTTCAGTGCGCAAACTAAGTTTGCAATAAAGCTGGACTTTTAAAAATAAACTTCGGTTTGTATACATTTGAAATAGGAATCCCTCTGTCCTGTCTGACAGAGAGTTCTGAAATGGGCCACCACTCTTGCCTTTTCCTGGTTCACCTCCCATTTTTTCACTGCCGATAAGTAAGTAGTTACGGGTCTTGATCTTAGCTTTACAAGGTGGATCATTCCAAGTGGGCTTCTACACCCACATAATCTGTTGACTTCAGTGAATCAGTGTCTTACTGTTGGATGTGGAAGATCAAATCTGAGAGGTATGTGCAGCCAGAGATGTTTCACACCTCTTCCTCTGGGAAATAACAGCAGGTCTGGTTAAGGTAGTCCTTGAGGCTGTTATTTATGTGGTTCCCAAGTAGAATCCATGCTCTCTCAAGTAGATTTTTCAGTATCATCTCCTTGTATAGCAATTAGCACTCTAATCACCTTTTCACCAAAGAGCCAGTGTAGCAATTTCAGTCCATTGATTTGACATGGTCGATACCTGCTGTGCCCTTTACATGTTAACAAATGGAATAAAGCTAGTTGAACCTAAAAGTTAATTTCTTTACATAAGACTTGAGTGTTAAAGAATTGAAACAAAAATAGACTTTGAATAAAATACCAGTAACATCATTTTTGGTAATAATAGCACCTCAGTTAGTCTTTGTACAACAATACTTAACACAAGATGAACTTGGGACAGTGTACAGAGGCTCATCAGGAGCAGCCTCATGCTGGCCTAGTGTGTAAGGCATTCTGTAAGATATGCTTTGACATTTCCTTTCACTTAGGAAGACTTAACGCCAACTTTGAGGGGAGCCATGTGCACTTAGGTACGTCAAAGCTGATTTGTTCTTTAGCCTTGTAATTGCTATGATACAAGAAGTTGTATGTATGATACAAGAAGATGGAAAAATGCATCATTTTGTCTCCTGCCTTCCATTTCTTCCCATTTCTTGCTTAGTTCCCTTCTTGTTAGTACATGCTTCTCTCTATGGTTGGGCATAAAGGTTTTAAATCGATAATGGTGAGAGGTAGCACAGTTGCAGGTCTAATTCAGACATTGTGGAGAAGACAGAACAGCTAGATTTCCCACTTCATTCAGCAGATTAGTGAAATGAGGATTTGTAGTTCTTCAGTTCTTATTTGGAAAGCATTAGAAGGCCTCAAGGCTAGGCAAAAACCAAAAAATCAGAGATGGTATTGGAAGTACAAATGCAAAGAAAAAATGTCAGAGGAGAGTCATCCGTAATAGCAAAGATAAGCCAGGGGAAGTGGTGCTTTCTTTGTTTTGGTTTGTTTTTTTTTTTATAGGGAGATGCCTATTAGTTGAAAAATTGGGAAGTTCCGTTGTGAGCTGTTAGGCACAGTGTGATGCCACTGGCTTCAGGGGCACAGCCAAGGCAAAGGACCTAGGATTGGACCTGCAAACCAGTAGCCAAATTCAGTTTGAAGCTTCATTTTGCTGTAACCACATCTAAATACAGTCTGGGATTTAATCTTCTTGCCAGGAAAGAAGAATCTCACAAAGGAGGACAATAAACAGTAGACAAGTGTCTTCGCTGAGAAGCTGGCCCTGGTGGTTACATACATGCTCCTGAACTCCAGCTCCTCCCTGAGCTCCTGCAGTGCCGTGGCTGCTGTGTTTGTCTGTAGGCATCGGCTGGGCTCCAGGGGTGTTTCTTCCTGTCTTTGTGCTGCAGTGGGCTGAATCCACTGGTGAATTCTCCAACAGTATGAGCCTTTGGGCAGGTACGAGGGGAAAAAAATTTTAAAAGAGCCAGCTACCTGCAGTTGAATCTTTCTTGACTTATAGGGTGCAGGGACAGTGGTGGGGTGTCTGGGCAGCTTCCCTAGTGGGAAGTTTCCTTTTGCTTCTGTATTTTTACCGTTACCTGTGAAGTAGTCTCCTGTGCAGGCCTCTTGCAAGATCTGGTGATGGTGGAAATATTAACTGAAGGAGTAGTTTTAGGCTAATTGTACTGACTAGATCTTTAGGTCCTTCTGATCTTCTGTCACAAGGTGTTGGATGGGGTGTTGTGGAATGCTTCTTGTACTCTTTTATTTCCTTCCTCTCTATGTTCTTCATCATTCTTTCTTTTATTCTCCAATGTAAGTAAT